ATATATATATATATATAATTAGTATGACAACCCAGTGACAAGGATGCCTGCAGTGTCAGCACAACAATGACGTCACAACCTGATCTGATCACGGCAGGAGAGGAAGGAATGAAAATGCCAGCGGTGTGGAATTTTTTAGTGTCGGGAACTGATAACAGAACTGCTATTCACAATGACTGCTCATCGTCAGTGATGTGAGGAGGAGCAAAAACAAAGTCCTACAACACTTCAAAACCTAATTAACCATCTCAAGAACCACCATTACGATGAGTTCATGGTGGCTAGAAAGGAAAACGAGGGAGCATTTAACCGCAGAGAAACAAAACCTCGCCATCAGTCCATCCATCCAAAGACCATGCAGAATAAATAGTATTTTAATTCCAAAGCAGAAAAAGCTATATAGTCTCTGTAAGTAGGTCTAGGGAAAAATATCGGTATTGGTTATCGGCCAAATAAGTTTTAACATATTGGCATATTGCATATCAGCCAAAAATCCAATATTGTACATCCCTAAATATAACCTATAAAAAAATACAGCATCATCAATTTAAACCAGACTATGGCTGCTTCATTTTTTTTTTAATGATTGATAAAATAAGGCATATCACAGAAAATTAAATTTGTTACGAGTGAGTTGTGTAGCGTTGCTACCTTTAGCAGCAATCAAAGTTTCTAGTAGCATTTTAACACTCCTTTAGTGGATAAAGAGAAGATTTTAGGATGTTGAATTAGCTTTAACTTAGCCTCAGTGGTCGATGAACTAAAACAAAGATGGAGAATGCAGCCACATAAATTACCACCGTTCTGAATCTGTTTCATGCCAGTTTAAAGAGCTACAGTACGTTCATTAAAATAACTATAACAAATCACATACACCCTCTCAGTTGCAGCCTTTTTTCCCCACTTTGGTTGGCGCTCTTTCTTTGTCTCTTTCCGAATTGCTCCTTTCATTCCTTTAGTTGTTTATTGCATTTCTCCAGGGTGTCTGTTATTTGTTTCTAATAAGACGTCGGCAACGCATCATCTGGCGCACGTTGAAAAGCTACTCTCACATTAATGTCAGCAAAGCTGTTAATCCAGATAAAATCTTTAAACCCTTCGCACGGCACTTAATCCGACATAATAGTGTTTGTGTGTGTCACTGTGATTATAATATCTGAGTTTGTGTTGCAGAAAGCACTTGCTTTTAGCACAGAAACATGCACTTACATTATAATAATGTACTGCAGTCTGTTGTCTGGCTGTTACTTAGTGTGCTTTGTTTTTCCCGTCCATTTGTGTGATTTTCTCACAAGCGCACACACAGAAGCCACTACCAGATGACATTTCTCTGTACTTTTGTCATTTCTCTGCCAACGCTCTTTCTGAGGATCAACCTCCACTGAGGACTGACCCCATTTTTTTGTGAGTGCTTGTGGATGAACTTGAGGGTTTGCCGCCCTGAGCCATAATTCCTACGCTGACGCTTGGTGCCCGGTCCATGTTTTCATTCTGTCAGTTTGAGTGGCTTTAGGGGACTTTTTGCACGTGTCGTAGCCTGCAACGACTCACTGCTAACCTCCCCCGTTGCACTGATTGTCCTTTTACTCTCGGTTTATTGAAGGGAAGTCATGCTGACTTCTATTTCAATCTGCTAAACTCCACATAGTTTTTATTTTAAAGCTCAACAAGTTCACGTGGTGTCCATGTGAATATGCTCACATTAGAGTTCTGAGAATCAGAATTGTAATTATCACCTGCTGCCAACAGAAGAAGGCAGACCACGTTTTTGCCCATTTTATCTCAGAACCACTGAATGGATTTTAATGAAACACTCAGATGAATGGACTTCATGACATCTACAACCCTTTAAAGTCAACCAGATTTAAGGTAGCTGCCACAGTCAGCGGACCGTAAAAACACAAAAATAGCTAAAACTCTGCGGATCTGTACAGATGTAGAGGTCAAATTTGATGTGGTAGTAGCTGAGAGTCATTCATAAAACATACTCTGAGTATGACATCTCATAAATCTCATACACTGCCTGGCCAAAAAAAAGTTGCCACCTGGATTTAACTAAGTAATTAGGTACAAGCCTCCTATTGGATAATTACTGCATGGGTGATTATCTTTCAGCTGGCAACAAGTTATTTAACCCCAACTGGTGCAATGAGTTGCTTCTCATTTCTTAAACAACCATGTTGAAAGACACATCGCGTAGTCGTGGAAAAGATGTGAGTTTGTTTGAGAAGGGTCAAATCATTGGCATCAAGCAGAGAAAACATCTAGAAACTACTAAAATTGGGTTAAGAACTGTCCAACGCATTATTAAAAATTAGAAGGATAGTGGGGACCCATCGTGTTCGAGGAAGAAATGTGGCTGGGAAAAATCGTGAATGATCGTGATCGGCGATCACTTTGGTGAAATCAAATGGAAGAAAAACAACAGTAGCACTCAGGGCTATGTTGAATATTGAAAGTAAGAGCATTTCCACACGCACAATGTGAAGGGAACTCGAGGGATTGGGACTGAACAGCTGTGTAGCCTTTAAGAAAACCAGTAATCAGTGAGGCTAACTGGAATAAAAGGCTTCAATTTGCTTGGGAGCATAAAGATTGGACTCTGGAGCAATGGAAGAAGGTCATGTGGTCTGAGTCCAGATTTACCCTGTTCCAGAGTGACAGGTGCATCAGGGTAAACAGAGAGGCAGGTGAAGTGATGCACCCATCATGCCTAGTGCCTAGTCATCAATGCAAGATCTTGGCGAAAATTAATGCAACACTGGATGGAAATAGATCTTGTGACATTGTAGAAGCTGATCAAAACAATGCCACAGCGATTGCATGATGTAATCAAAGCTAAAGGAGGTCCAACAAAATATTAGTGTGAGCTTTCTTTTTTGGTCCATGTAGTGTATAATCCTTCAATGAATACGAAGCCTTTAATTGGACGTATTTTCTCATACTGTCTGCAGCTCCTCCTTCATATTCCTAGTTTTTTCTGTTCTCCTCTGTCCTACAGGTCTAATCATTGTGCCCAGCGCTGGCGTGGGCATCGTGTTGGGGGGCTACATCATCAAAAAGCTGAAGCTCGGGGCAAGAGAGTCAGCGAAGCTGGCCATGATCTGTAGCGGGGTGTCTCTGCTCTGCTTTTCCACACTTTTCATAGTGGGCTGTGAGAGCATCAATCTAGGAGGCATCAACATACCCTACACCACAGGGTGAGGACACATCTACCACCTGCGTTAGATTCAGCCACAGCTGTTTGGATATATTAAGTAAATGTTTTGTTGCAGGTTTTCTCAGGTTGAGAGCTGTACAATGTGTGAGAGATAAACGGTATGAATCATGTTGTAAGATGTGTCTGTGTGGGCTCAGGATGCTGTCACCGCTCCCATCATCCTCATGCGTTGTGGCATCGTGTTGCCGTGCGAATGATTAATTAGCAACACTTGCATCTGTTCTCGTGGTCCTGGTGAATCACTTTGCCACCTCTATTTCTGAACGTGCTGCAGAGTTAGCGGGCCGTCATGCGATGTGTCACATGAACACATTCACACAGATGCACGGAGGCACCGTCTCCGACCTTGGATGATGCATGAAAACCCTTCAATCTGAAAACGTCCTACATGTTCTGTAATAACATCCACACTCTTTGTACTGTTATCAGACAATCATCAGAGTGAATTCATTTTTACATAAAATAAGATTTTTTCCTTAAATGCATGAAATGTGGCTTACAGACTGCAAATAAAATACTGTAATTTATAAAGCCTTTAAATGTTCATATATATTTAGTTAGACAAGGTATTAAGACAAGGCAAATGGTTTTAACTCATCAGCCCAAGATCCTGATTCATGAAAATCCACAAAAACAATTAAATCCTGTCACGAAGACACAAATCTGCACTAGAGAAATTACATTTCCTGCGAAAATACAGTGTGAATGCGCATTGCAGAAGAACTTGCTGAGAAACAGTTGAAATTAGCTAAAAATTGCTGAAATGTAGCTGAAATTGAAGAACAAGCCTAAATTAGCAGAAGAAAGCAGAAAGAACACATATTTGTAGAAATAGGTTTAAATAAACAGAAATTATTATAAACATTAGGAAATTAGCTTAAAAATGATGAAATTAGCAAAAAATGGCTGAAAGACACAAAGAAACATAAACTACTAGAAGGAAGGAGAAAGAGCTGAAATAAGCTAAAAAAAAAAAGTGGAATTAACTGCAAAAGCATAAATTAGCATAAAAACTGCTAAATAGTAGATGAAAAAGCTGAAACTAGCAGAATTAAGCTGAAAGGAATATAACGAGCTGAAATTAACAGAAAGAAGTAAATTTGGTTGAAAGTAGCAGAAATTATCACAAAAAAATTGAATTTATCTGAAAACAGCTGAAATTAGTTAGAAAATGCTAAAACAGTAGCTGAACAGGTAAAACAAGTTTAAATTAGCAGAAGAAAGCAGAAAGAACGTTTGCCAGATTAGGCTGAAAGAAGCAGAAGTGAGCACAAAAAGTGGAAATTATCTGGAGAAAAAAAACTGAAATTAACAAAATATAAAAATAAACAGCTGAAAAGTAGCTATAAAATAATGAAGTTTATATTACAAAAGGAAATGGAGCACAAAAGTGCTGAATTGGGCAGAAAAATATGAAATTAGTGCAAAAAATGTGGAAATAACTGAAAAAAGCTAAAATTATCATAAAACAGCTAAATAGTAGCTGAAATAGCAGAAAAAGCTGAAACTTTCTGAAATGAGCTGAAAGGGACATAACAAGCTAAAATTGGCAGAAAAAAGTTACAGGAAGCACAAACATGTTGTAGTTAGTAGAAAGAATATGAAAGGAGCACAAAACAGCTGAAATTAGCTGAGAAAAAAGTTTAAACTTTCACAAGGAAGCTGAAAGAAGCTGAACCAGAACAGAATGTGAAAGGAGCAGAAAAAGGTTGTGAACACATGTAAAGATCTGAAGGATGTAAACATGAGCTCAATTCATTTTCTATGAGAAAATAAAAGTGGCAGCATAGGCTAAAAAAAGCTAAAGTTGCACCAAAACCAAAAGTCGTAGCAGGATTGTCCTGAACGAGCTGAACGGACAACCATTCACAGTAGTGTGAATGCTTCACAGTAGTGTGAATGCTTCATAAACCTTCACTCAATAAGATGCTCTGAGATGTCAGTTTTATAAAGAAATCTCCCTCCTGCTCGTGTCTGCACTCTTCCTGTGTTTAGACGTGGCTTCGCTAACAAGCTGATGAAAAATGGCCGCGCCAAGAGGCCTGTCGGATTACATAATGCTCTTAAACGGTTCCTCCTGCGGTCTCTGGAGCAGCGCTGCCTGATTATTATGTGTTGGGATTGGACTTAATTAAAAGCTACAGCGCACCGCACCTGTTTCTGACCCTTGTTCCAGATAAATCCATCAGTTCTTGTTTTCTCTTTCTCTCAAAAGGTTCAGACTCCACAGGTTCTGTGTTGACTTTTTATTTACGTTATTTAGTTACCAAATGTTTTTACTTGGTTACTTTTTGGTTACTTCGTAACATTTTTGCTAAGCTATTTTTTTTATGTTCATATAGTTACTAATACTCTTTGATTTAATTTACGTTGAAACTACTTACTTCCTTTTTAAGTTGCTTGTTGTGTGAAGGTTTATGAAGCATTCACACTATTGTGATCCATTTTGATTCTGTACGTTTTTTTCCGCACAATTCTCGTCCCACAGTTTTCAATCTATTTCAACAAATCATAAATCAAAACGTTTGGCTCGTTCAGGACAATCCTGCTATAACTTTGGTATTTGTGCAACTTTAGCTTTTTGAAATATTTAGCCTTTTCTGTTATTTGTTTCTCACAGAAAATGAATTGAGCTCATTTTACATCCTTTAGATCTTTTGATGTGTTCACAACCTTTTACTGCTCCGTTCACATTCTCTTCTGGTTCAGCTTCTTTCAGCTTCCTTGTGAAAATTTAAAAATTTTAAGTTACTTTCAGCTGGGTTTTTTTTTTCCAGCTGTTTTGTGCTCCTTTCAGTCTTTCTGCCAACTACAACATGTTTGTGCTTCTAACTTTTTTCTGTTAATTTCAGCTTATTATGCTCCTTTTAGCTTATTTCTGCAAGTTTCAGCTTTTTCTACTATTTCAGCTACTATATAGCTGTTTTATGTTAAATTTAGCATTTTCAGCTAATTCCACATCTTTTGCACTCATATCAACCTTTTTTCAGCCTAAGTCAGTGCTCTATCCACTTCCTTATGGTAATTTAAGCTTCGTTCTGCCTTTTTTTTTTAGCTATTTTTCAGCTGTTCTTTGCCAATTTCAGCTTTTTTCAGAGTATTTTTCTTTTTTATGCTAATTTCTGCTTCTTTCAAACTATTTGGGCAAACTAATGTTCTTTCTGCTTTCTTGTGCTAATTTAAGCTTGTTCTACCTTTTCAGCTACCTTTTTAGACATTTTTTTTAGCTAATTTCAGCTGTTTTCAGATTAATTCAAATTTTCCTTGGTAATTTCTGCTACTTTCACCTAATTAATTTTGCTTTCACCTTGTTATGCTCCTTTCACTTTTTTCAGCTAGTTTCAGCTTTTTCTGCTGTTTCAATGAGCTGTTTTCATTAGCTTTTTCAGCTAATTCCACATTTTTTTTAGCTCATTTCACCTCTTTCCACTTCCTTCTCGTAGGTTAAACCTCTTTCTGCCTTTTCAGCTACTTTAGATGTTTTTTGCTACTTTTTTGCATTTTTTAGCTGATTTCCTAATTTTTGCGCTCATTTCTACTTATTCATTCATTCAACCTTTATTTAGACAGTTAATCCCATTGAGTCTCGAGGACTCATTTACAAGAGAGACCTGATCTCAACAAAGAACAATGACAACAATGGGCAACAGCAACAACAATAGATAGTTATAAAAGAGGCAACTTATATATTTTTTTAGTTTAAACATAATTGAGCAAATATTTGTTGTGCTTACTTCTGCTAACTTAGGCTTGTTCTTCCATTTCAGCTACATTTCAGCATGTTCTTTAGCTAATTTCAGCTGTTTTTCAGCAAGTTCTTCAGCAATTCACACTGCATTTTTGCAGGAAACACAATTTCTCAAGTTTTGCTTCTTGTCTTATTACATTTACCCAAGAACTCTTACTTGTCTTAATATTTGGTTCCTTTGATACTTTTTTACTTTGTTTCTAGTTATGTTCAAACGGTTTATTTTCACAAACTGCAACTTTGCTTTTTGATTTATTTACCTCTTTCTTTTCTTAAAACTTACGTTTTAGTTCTCTAAAATGTAATTCGTAAAACTTGGGGAGTAGCCAGGGTTCAGCTTGGATGAAACGTTCAGGAAGTTTGCAACTCCAGTGGAACTGGTGTTAAAATGTTTTACTGAAACACACAAAACTGGTCTCTCTCTGACACACACACACACACACACACACACTCTGCTGTGATCCAGTTAAAAATGATAGTTTGTTAATTTTAGAATCATTTTTTCTACCATAAATACATATCGGTAACGCATGCAGCTCAACAGAACATGAAACAACATAAATCCTCCTGGTTCATTCTAATCACATCGAATATGTTTGGGAAAGAGGCCCCTCTTGTGGGACGTGTGAACCCGTCAGTGTGACCCCATATCTGCTGCCGTCTGTCCCGATTTGTTCCGCATTGCTCAGGGCAAAGCTCGCCAAAGAAAACCCGGGCCACGCTCGACCGCGTTCGGTTTAGACAAAGTCAAAGTCCTGTTTTACTTACAGGAACCGTTCCCACACTAAAAACCCCGTGAACGTGTTGCTTCCTTCCTCCCGTCTGCAAATCAGTTATCGCCACAATAAATCTGAGCCTCAGAGTCTACAAGTCTTTTGTAGGAGTGACACTTGTCTTACACATTTAAATGTCATTTATTTATTGATATGACATTGTTTTTGTGTCACCATTGTGTGGCATGACGGGGTCCTTTTTCTGCTTTCTAGTCTTATGAATAAATGTGTCTTATTTCTTTCTGCAGTCCGACCCTGACCATGACCCACAGGAACCTGACAGGCAGTTGCAACGTAAACTGCGGCTGCAGGATCCACGAGTACGCCCCGGTCTGCGGCTCCGACGGCATCACCTACTTCAACCCGTGCCTCGCTGGATGCAGCACCGTGGGCAACGACAGCGCCGGGGTGAGGAAAACGAAAACTGGAACTACTTCCTGCCTTTCCCCATCGAATATCTTTGTAGTAAAGGTTAAATATTACGAGTGGATCTTTGTTCTTTGACCACAGATGAGGAACTACACGGACTGCGGCTGCGTGCAGAGCAGGCAGGTCATCACGCCGTCCTCCGGCGGGCAGGTCAACCAGCTCCAGCTGGTCATCGTCAAAACGTACCTGAATGAAAACGGCTACGCCGTATCAGGGAAGTGCGACCGAACCTGCAACACGCTCATCCCTTTCCTCATATTCCTCTTCATCGTCACGCTCATCACCGCGTGCGCTCAGCCCTCCGCCATCATCGTCACGCTCAGGTCAGAAACGTTCGAGTCACCGTCCAAGTTTGATCGTCAATGCAGCAAGTTGACCTTTCGTCCTCCTCAGGTCCGTTGACGAACAAGAGAGGCCTTTCGCACTCGGGATGCAGTTTGTTCTGCTCCGAACTCTCGGTACGTTCCTGTTCATGACGTTGAGCGATCGTTAACCCGAGCTGTAGAAATCTTTAATGAATTTTAATCTGTAGGCTGCACACTTCTACTAAAACATTTGCACCTGCTGTCGTTCTTCACCTCACAATCGGCCTGCAGCTTTAGAAAGAGCAGGTCTGTGGTTGAATTTCCATCATGAACCATTCATGACATCAGAACAACTTCAGGCTAAATGCTGCCACCAGCTGGTACAAACCAAGAGTTTCTCATAAAACTATCGACTCATACTTTTAGAAAAGAGATGAACGATTTCTTATAATTTCATGATAACGCCTTATTGTATACACTTAAATCAGACTTTTGATCCTGAAGCTGGGGCACATCTCTATAAAACAGCAAATGAAACGAATAAAATACTATTTATTCTTAAAGTTTGTATTTCATTAGGAGTTTGGGACTACTGTGTTGTAAAATTACATTTTCAGGCATTGTAGTTCAATACATGTTAAACTAGCAGTCAACAAGGTCATATTGTAAATATATAGTTAGTATTTTGACTTTAAATTGTGACTAAAACTAGCCCGAGGGCCATTTGCGGCCCTTAGTGATTCTGTGCGGCCCACAACTTAAGTTTAAGAACTGTATCATTTTGTCCAGCAGGCTTAAAAGGTCGATGCAGACTTTCTGCAAATTAGTTGTTAATCCTTTTTTATATAATGTTTAGATTAATGTTATGTTCATCTCAAAATGAGCAAAAATACAAAACTTTGTCTGCAATCTTTTTATTTTCACTTCATGGTACAAAGCACCAAACACATTTACTGATTTCTACCAGAAAGGAAACTTTTGGATCATGATTCATAAAATCTGGCTAAATATTGCAGTTGATAAAATAAACAAGAGGGAAATTAAACATTTTTAAATGAATATAACGTGGTGTCATCTACATATGAGTTGATCAACGTTATCAAACCTTTATGAATCTGTTCTAGCGACTGACAGCTGGAGGATTTTTCAGAACTTGGATCAGACTTTTGGGCCGCCTCCTTTTAAAAGGACACTTATACTCAAATTACACTTTTGTTGCTGAGAACAGACTAAAATGAACTTTGAAAACACAAAAAAACAACAAACATAGACCCAACAAATCAAATAAATTCAATACTTTTTAATAAAAAATATAAGCTTAGTGTTTATGAGGCTTTTAATGTTTTGAATCTACATTTTAAAACTCTTTCTCCACCAAAATTAGTAAACTTTTGTCCTTTCTCTAAAATATTGTTCACGCTGAGAGTTAAATTCACATTTTGTGGCCCACGAGTCGTTTCATCTCAATAGTTTTGGCCCACACATGAAAAAGTTTGGACACCCCTGCAAGTGAGTAAACAATAATTGTTGCATCTTTCCGTCCTCAGCCTACATCCCCACACCCATCTACTTCGGTGCTGTGATTGACACCACCTGCATGCTCTGGCAGCAGGACTGCGGCGTGCACGGCTCCTGCTGGGAGTACGACGTTACCTCGCTCCGCTTCGTCTACTTCGGTCTGGCCGCCAGCTTAAAATTTGTCGGCTTCGTCTTCATCTTCCTCACCTGGTACTCGATCAAGCACAAGGAGGCGCGGGCCGAGCGTTGGCGCCAGCACCTTCCTCCTCTGGGCACAGTCAGCGAACTGATCTGCCACGCCGGGGGCCAGAAGAGCCACGCCCGCACACTCTCCTGCCCCGTGTACATGCCACCTCGGCCCGATCCGCCCGCAGTGCTGCTGCTCAACCGTGGCCGCAGCAGCTTCAGCTGCCCGGGTAACGTCCTCAAAGCAATAACTCCCCCCGTACTGTTGCCGTATCACCACCGAGGCTCGACCCACGTCTGAACGCACGCCACGTCCCTCGTTGTGCCTTCCTGTTTGTGTTTCTGCACTGCGCAGCATCTGCTTCATGACTGACAGGCAGAGACACAGGTGGGCCCGCTGTACCTAAAGGGCTGCTCATCGTTCACACAAACAGGAGGCGGAGCAAAGTTTATCACGGAGCGTCCCATCGGCTGCAGCCACGCTCGTGGTTTGGACGATGGAATGGTGCTACTGTTCATGGCGGGGCATTAAAATCTGTTCACACAGATGAGTCATCAACATGACGTCTAAAGCACAACAGACAAACCTGCACTATGCAAACGTCTGCATACAGCTCCCTCTGTGTACCTCGTCTTACACACACACACACACCTTGTTGTTTTTCATCTCTCGTCTCGTTTTCGCAGCAGAGCTACTCTTTCGTCTGATTCTCATTTTGTCTGCACAGTCAAATATGACAATGGGATCTTTTTTACTTTCCCCAACAACTTTGGGTTTCCTTAACAGTGCCTCTCGGGCTGTTCCGGCCAGTCCAGTACACAAAGCTAGCTGTCAGAGTTAACTCGCTGCAGGAAAGCCAGTAAATATGACGATTCTCGCTTCGCTGCCTCAACGTTTTGTAACTGGAAGCAGCCGTCGCCGATCTCAAGCTATTGAACTTTTCTCAGCGCCTTCACAACATGTAGCTCAAGTCAGATCAGCACCAACGATACAGTGGTGTGCTTGATTACTAACCAAGTGGCAAACAAGAGGAAGAAAAAATATTTTAGTGCTGAAGCTACTGTAGGGTTGAAAATGTGTCACGAATGTGGTTTATTTTCATCCCTTTTTAAAAGCGATTGCTTCAAAACTATAAGCTGCACCATTTTGGCTTTGTAGCGTATTCGCTTCTCCATTCTAGTGGTCATCAGATGTACATAGTAAATGTTTAGCTATTTAGACTTTTAAAGATTTGGCTTGGCAAGCATGACCCTAAGCATCGGCAAGAAAAACTGGCAATTTGAGGTTTTTTTTTTAGGTGTTTGTCTCCATCTAATGGACAAAAAGGATAACATGAAATGTTGCCACATAGATCAACTGGACTATTAAAAATACTGTAAGTGGTTCAACTTCCCAAAGGATTTATGTAGGAAAATAAATATTTGCCTCGTTTTTCAGGCAAAACGTGAGATATTAAAGCTTTTTAGTGGTAAAGTTCATGTTCAAACTACCTGCAGATGCCAGAAACACAGTTTCTATTCAAGTATTAAGATTTTGTTCCTTTGGTGTTCTATTTATCAAGCATCACATTTTGAAAGCCAGTTTTTTCGCCATTTTCTCCGAGAGAAAAAAGGTGGTTAGAATTTAAATTGTTTTTTTGTTTGTTTGTTTTTAATAATCCTGGTTTACTTTTATTCAAACAAAACAAGTTCAATGGTGTAAAGTTACCAGTTTGGTCTAGAGTGACGGTGAAAGTTGTTAAGTGGTTTAAGCTAATAAAAGCACATATTCATAAGTGATTGTTGTGTAAATAAAAAGCAAATGAAGTGTATTACTGAGCTCACATAGCTAGAGGTGCATTAATTAACCCGTTGTATTCAGATTTAAGGACAAAAAATACTGATTATTAACCACATTAATCAGGCAGACATTTCATGCAGGGAAGAAGATGGAGCCGGACCGATATGGAAATTTTAGCTATTAGCTGGGTGAGGTGAATGCTGATATCATGGCTGAAACTTTCTGTGCTTTGTCCACCCCCAAGAATCCAAGTAAACAGCTACTTTTAAACTTTTAAGTCTTGAAATGGTCTTCCTAATGTGCGTTCACGTGCAGGATTGAAGAGATTTTTATTATTTCATTTTACAGATCAGTTAAACTTTCCGTGCTCTGTTCAGCAAAATACGCTTTATTTGCTCCCTGCTTCACCTGTGCTGAAAGTGAAACTTAAAATGAACGGCTATGACTTTAAAAGTTGTCCTCATGCGCCCTCTGCTGGATGCGTTGTACAATTACACCTTCTGCATGCAAGGACATGGCTTGTTCCCAGTTTATATTGGTGCATAATGGGACAATTATCACCAGTGCTGATATATCGGCCCAAAACATCGGCAATAACGACGTATCGGTTGGGCTCTAGAAGATTGTGAAATTATTTATCATTAGGATTCACTTTTCTAACAAATGCATAATTTATGCCACGTCAATGTCTTTACTTGTATAGATCTTTTCCTACATTGCGCTCGATCACCTAATACAGCTAAACTGTAAACTTTCTTTTAGCAGCTTGTGAAACTAAAATCTGCTGAAATTAAAACAAGGCCTCTGCAGACAAACCCATCTTTTGCAATCGAGACAAACAGAACAAATATTGTAGCAAATAAACTGATCATCCAGCGACGCCGCAGTGTTAGCACCGAAGTCTGACTTTACTGCTGCAGCGTCCTGCTCTCCAACACTGAAGACTTTAAGTTGCGCTCGTCCTCGCTCCAGTGTTTCAACTGAAGCCGAAAGGTGGTTTTGTTCCTCGGGAGCAAAAGTCAAATCGACGTTTATGAACACACGGTTTACAAAAGCCTTGAATACTTGATATTTGTCATTAAAAAAAAACCTGAAAAAAACAACTTGTTCGAGTCATTAAGTTCAAGTTCACAAGAAGTGAGTGTGAAACGGTCTTTATTAACATCATGGCATTCTTTAGACTGTCGGAACTAAATGTTTTTGTGGGAAAACTACCTTGATAAAGGTGTTTTAAAGCACTTTACCTTAAGCAATTGTTGCAGCTTTTAAAACATTTATTTAATAGAAAATTATGCAGTTTAGGTCACGTTTTCAGTTACATTTGGCCATTTGCACACTAGGCTTCAAACGCACAAAAATACATCATTAATGTTGCACAATGAACGTTTTCAAAACTTGTTTCAACTTCAATCACTGCCCAGCTCATCCATCCACCCACCCATCCATCCATTATCTTTACCTGCTTATTCCATTTTGGGTCACGGGGGTCACTGGTGCCCATGTCCAGCAAACACTGTGCGAGGGGCGGGGTACACCCTGGACGGGTCGCAAGTCCATCACAGGGCCACATCGAGACAAACGAGACAACCTTTTACTCTCTCACTCACACCTAGGGACAATTTAGAGTTTATTTAAAGGCTACAATGACAGATTTTTGTTTTGGCAAAGCAAAAACATGAATTTTGGGATCTTTCGTATCCGAGTCGAGGCTTAAAATGAAAGATTTACTTAAAAAACTGCAGCGAAATTCAATAGTTATTCATCCGTTTGGTTGCTAAAATGGTTTCACCTCACACAGTTCCCCCCCCCCCCTCGATAAAAAACTTTTATTAAATATTATTAAACAACATATCTATACGGAAATAATCATCTTCAGTACCAACTCTGAAGTACAGCTGCCTGACGGCTTTTGTTTTGATACTAATATTTATATGTACAGCAGAAAAAAAGCATTTACATTTATTAGTAATATTGTTTACTAATAAATGCAGGCACCAGTAAAAAAAACAAAACAGTATGAACAATTGTAATACTTGTACAATCGCAGTGACTGCGGCGCTGCTGCTGCAAAGCTTCTCTAATGGCAGTGTCTGTGTCACCATGGCAACCAGAAGCTGTCCAGCCTGACTCAGAGGATCTGACTGGAGGGTTGAGAGCCGCTGCCCTCGCAGTCCAAGCTGAGGGGCAGAGACGTCTTCGTGGGGGTGTTCAGCGTCACCCCGACAGTCTGAGTGGGGGCGGGGCTTCTAGTCTGCACCTTCAGCCTCAGACTTTGTGGTGAGAGAGGGATGTAGACTTGGGCCTGGAAAATGTCCTCTTCATCAGGGTCCAGCCTGTAGCCAGGACCATGTGGGGTTTTGGCCCCTTCGTGCTCGGGCTTTAATTGGGCTTGCAGACTGGTGTGCGTGCGCATGATGCCGTCGTGCTGCGCCTCCAGCTCGGTCATTCCATTCCCACTGAACATTCCCTCCATCTCCTCCAGCTGCCGCGTGTCGCTCCCGAAGGCAACCTCGCCTCTACCCGACCACGCCCCGAGTCTGCCCTCGGTGCGCTCAGGCAGGTCGTTCACAACGGGATGCAGTTTCTCTCCCGGCGTGGGTGGTGCCGGAGGCGTTCTGCTGGGGACGGGGGTGGCGACCGGGTCCGGCCAGTCGACACTGGTAGAGGCCAGCTCTTCTCCGCTGCCGTCTTCGAGGCCTCCACCCCCGGCCCCAGAGCCCAGCTCTGGCAGGGTGGAGTTGTCAAGCTTTTGGGTTCGGTTGTTTTTGTTTAAAACGTGTCTCAGTGCAAACATTTTATCTGCGTCCTTCTGGAAGTTGGCCCAGTTGTCTGGGCTGGGGCTGTAGTCAGGCCTACATTCATACAGGCTTTCGTTTATGCTATACAAGTCCTCCAGCGCCTGCCAGTTCACCTCCTCGTCTGTCAGATTGGGCAGCTTAACCCTGTCGTCCGTCCCATTCCGGCTGTGTGCTGCCAGATAAAAAAAAAAAAAAGGGGGACGTTAGAAAGCTGAAGAAGAAAGAACGACCAACTCGTCTTAAAACACGCAGCCTGGTGCAGGGTTTCTGTCCCCAAGCAACACGCACACACTTTAAAGCAGCACTCACACCGAGCTCAAGCCTGGAGAAGTGCAAACATGCTGCCATTTTGCTAATTTACATTAGAAAGAGACTGAAAATGAAAATATGTAATGCTCCATCATAGACTAAAAGGCATATTACCGTATTTTTCAGACTATAAGGCGCATTAAGCGAAACAAAACAAAGTCAAACTTTATTCAGCTCATTCACAATAACCACATCAAATCTGTTTGAGGTCAGTAAGCACAACCAGAATTAATACACAAGGCTCACTGTCGATTTTTAAGAACATTTAAAGGATTTTAAGTGCGCTTTATAGTCCAAAAAAATACAGTAAATGTGATGACAAAAGATCTATAAAATGCAAAATCACATAACCTGGAAAAAAAAAAAAGCAGAGGAATTAAAAAGTGCTTAGAAATACAAGAAACTTAAGTTGCTACAAAATAGTTTATCCCCAGAAAAACAAAGATTTTAAACCACAAGTTAAAAAAAATAAAAGACCCCGCAGCAAAAAAGCAGAAATAAAAAGTTGAACGTCTGCAAGAAAAATGTGCATCAGTGTCGTTTTGGGTGTCCCTGTGTGATCAGAGGTCCTGTAACTAGAGCAAAACGAGTCGGCGTGAACGGAGAGACTCACAGGAAGGACAGGCTCGGCCTCCTCTTTGAACACTTTCGGTGCTGCTGTCGCCTGGTAAGCAGGTGCCAGAGAGGTCGAGAGATCAGCGTGGGCTCAGACGCGCTCGTTCTACCTCTAACAAACGGCCATGAGTGAGAGCTACTGTGTGTCATGATAAACTACAGGCTGCTTCTGGATGAGGCCAATATTACATGGAATGAGACGTGATAAAGGAAGAAATTCACATTTTGGAGACAATATTTGGATTTTTATTAAAAGTTTGATTATCCTTTCATGTCTTATTACACAAGAAGCTGCATCTGGATGCTGTTAGCATTACCCTGACTTTTGCTAAAACAAAAATAAAAAATTACATATCTGCCAATCAACTCATGTTTTGTATAAATCATCTCTATGGCTGCCTGTGTTTTTATGGGTCACTATGAAAAAGAGCACAAGGTTTAATTCATTTACTTTGTATAATAAGACGTCTGTTTTTATTACAATTATTTCCATTTCCTGGAAAGTTGAATAAAAAAGGTTTCTGCACTAACATTTAAAGCACAGAGAGGAAATCAATCATCTCATGTATTTATTCCCCAAAAGGTCAACTTGTTCCTTAAAGCGATAGTTCAGATCTTTTGAAATGGGGGTTCTGTTGAAAAGGGTATAAACACATCATCTTACCTGTTGCAGATAACTATTTGAATATCCTCAGCTTGGAGAAATGGAGTTTAGTTATTTTAAGTTTTTTGTGAACAGTATTTAATAAATCTTTCCATCATGGTAGTTTTGTGTTACATGATAACTTACATAGAATCCTGCGGTTTTTTTCTTGCAGGAATAATCATATTTGTGCCAGACTAGCCTGTTTTTAGATGCTTATCAAAAAGCGGAGGTGTTTTAGTATGGAAATACAGTAATCCCTCGCTACTTTGCGGTTCGTTTATCACGGACTCGCTCAATCGCGATTTTTCAAAATAAAATTTGACTTGACGCACAACTGGCTGATTTGATAGATGAGCCGCACGATCGGCATGGAAATTTTATTTAAAATTTATTTTAAATTATTTAGCGCCTGCTAACAGGATAAGCTGCCTCCTGCAGCTGATCAGCTGTTCTCGTGCAGAGTGGAGAAGTGGGCGTGGCCAAGAGTGCTTGCGGGTGGCAAAGAGCAGTGGAGGCAGGGAGCTGAAATCATGACATGCTGTGATCTTTTAGAGCTTTAGAGTTTAGAAACATGGTTTAGAACATTGCAAGAGTGTGGGAAGGGTTTAAAACACCTTAATATATATATATATATATATATATATATATATATATATATATATAT